CCCACACATATATAGTATGCATTTCTCTATCTATCTACATATATTAAAAACTGGAAGTTCATACTGATAACTCCAATTCTAGTTCCACACCACAGGGTTCATTCTAGCCCTCAACCCACCCCTATCTGTAATTTCATTTTATTAGTGAGAAGCCTGGCTCACTCTCATTATCCACAATATTTACCTATTTGCTCAATCCTAGAACACACATACAGTGGTTTAGGAATTGCTAAGTCACACCCCTGTGAAAAACAAATCTACTAAAATTTGGGGCACCTGGGTGGCTCAATTAGTTAAGTGTCCAACTCTTGATTTCAGCTCAGGTCATGATCTCAGGTCAGGAGATCAAGCCCTGCATCAGGCTCTGCCCTGGGCATGAAGCCTGCTTAAGATTCTCTCTTTCTCCCTCTCGCTCTGCACCAACCCCCTGCTTGCATGCTCTCTCTCTCTCAAAAAACAAAAAACAAAAATAATAATAATAATTTGGGGGGGTTACTGGATTTAGACTTAAAAGTATATAGTCAAAATACTGTTTCCCAAAGGTACTTGGGTTACTTTTCTTCTTTATCTCCCCTCCCTTAGTGTGGTTTCATTATTTATTTGTAATACAGTTAAGAATCATCTGTTAGAGTTTTTATTTAATTCTGGATTCCCCTCACATCCTGGTTGTCTAGTTAGTTATTCTTCAGGTACAGCCTCAGAACTATATAAAAAGATGTACTCAGAGAAGTGACACTTCCTTCTGTTCCTTCTGTCCCATTCCCGCACTCTCTACCCTGCTCCCAGTGGCTTCTTACAGGTAATCACACCCATTCATTTCTGGTTTACCCTTCCTATGTGTACACGTGTGTGCTTTATACAAACAAGCAGATACTTGTATACTTGTCTCCCCTTCTTTCTTGAATGAAAGAGAGGATACAATAGATGTTTACTTGCCCTTTGCTCTTTTCATTTACCAGCATATCCCAGTTTGGAGAAAAGAGTTAGCAGGCCTGTTATCCTGAGAAAGGCCTGCTTGCAAGGGTTGCCTTCGCTCATCTGGGAACTTATATTTGGGAGAGTTTCCAACATTCCCTAATGATAAGAGTGGCTCGGTGCATCCATATGACAATGGGGTATATGTTGGAACACCTGCTTTCCTTCTGGAAGTCTGGAATTTTGGTATGTGCCAGGCAGAAGATCCCTGTGTGACCAGCACCCAGTAAAAACCCTGGGTTCTAAAAAGCTTCCGTGGTAGGCCACATTTCACATGTGTTGTCACAATTTGTTCCTGGAGAAGTATGTGTATGTATGTGACTACAGTGGGAGAGGACTCTTGGAAGCTAACACCTGAGATCTTCTGGACTTTGCACCATTCTTCCCCTTTGCTGACTGCTTTATATCCTTTGTTAAAATTAATCTTAGCTACAAATATGACCATGTGCTGAGTCCTGTGAGTTCCAGGGAATCCCCAAACCTGTAGGTAGTCTTGGGGAGCCATGACACACCTGGAAATCACGCCATATCGGTACATGGAAATCCTCCTCAATTCTTTATTACAGGTGCATAGTGTTCCATGTACAGATGTACCATACACTATGGTTTATTCAACCTTTCTCCTATATGTGGACATTTAGGTTGCTTCCAACATTTTGCAATGCTGCAAACAGTAACTTTGAGTATGTGTATTTCTATAATTTGGAGGTATATATTCAGGGTAGATTCCTAGAATTGAAAAGGTTAGGTCAACAGGTCAGAGCATATGCTTTCTGGTTAGGTGCAGCCAAATTCCTCTTCTGAAAGGTGTTATCAGTATGCATTCCCACCAGCAACCTGTGAGAACACCTTTTTCCTCACAGCCTTGCCAAGCAGATATGTTATAATTTTTCATTTTCTCCAGTCTAATAGGTAAAAAGTGGTATTTCAACTGTTTAAAATTACATTTCTCTAATTATAAGTGAGGTTGACCATCTCTTCATGTGTTTAAGAACAAGCACACGAACACACACACATGTACATAAATGAATCATCTATTCAAGTCTTTCCTTCATTTTTCTATTGGGTTTTCCATTCCTCAATCTAAGAGTTCTTTATATATTAGTGGGGTGCTTGGCTGGCTTGGTCAGTAGAGCATACGACTCTTGATCTCAGGGTTGTAAATTCGAACCGCACACTGGGTATAGCGATTACTTAAAAATAAAATCTTAAGGGGCGGCTGGGTGGCTCAGACATTAAGCGTCTGCCTTCAGCTCAGGTCACGATCCCAGGGTCCTGGGATCGAGCCCCGCATCGGGCTCCCTGCTCCACAGGAAGCCTGCTTCTCCCTCTCCCACTCCCCCTGCTTGTGTTCCCTCTCTCGCTGTGTCTCTCTCTGTCAAATAAATAAATTTTTTAAAAAAAAAAAAAAGAGTTCTTTATGGGGTGCCTGGGTGGCTCAGTTGGTTAAGTGTCTGCCTTTGGCTCAGATCATGATCCCAGGGTCCTGGGATTGAGCCCTGCACTGGGCTCCCTGCTCAGCAGGGAGCCTGTTTCTTCCTCTCCCTCTGCCCCTCCTCTTGTGTACTCTCTCTCTCATATAAATAAAACCTTTTTTAAAAAAGAGGGAGTTCTTTATATATTAGAGAGATAAGTCCTTTATCTGTGATATACATTGCAAAATGTTCTCCTAATTCATCAATCGTGTTTAATTCATCAATTGTGTTTTGTCTGTTTGTGGTGTTTTGCCAATCTAGCAAGAATTCTTATATTGATGACCAAGGATGTCCGGGCTCTGCAAACCTTCTGAAATAGTAGTCTGCTTTTCTGAGAGATCTGCAGCATTCATTCAGATTTTCAAAGGGTCCTGTGACCTGAGGATGACTGAGCTATCACTAAGTCTTTTACGGAGCCTGTGCCCAATAGAACCACTTCTGCTGGACAGCTTTCCAAATTCTTGAAGGCTTCTCTTGATTCTTCTTTCATAGGACACACCCAAGCAATTGGCCTCTAATGGTGTATTTTTAGATTTTGTCATTAGTGTGAATTCTTTATCATGAGTGCATTTCTGGTTTTCTATACTCTTCCTACACCTGATACATGTGACACCAGGCTCAGCATGGGGAGGAGAGGACAGGATCCACTTTGGCCAGTGACCCCAACCCTGACACATTCCTTGCTTTCCCTCTGTCCTCCCCACCACAGGGGCCTCTTGAGCTTATCTGAGTGCTGGGTTGGGGAGAGGGGCCTGTGAGTGTGATATTCTAACTATAGACTAACCAACACACAACAGACTACAACTGCTACTTCTCAGTCCAGGTAACACATTTCTGTTCATGTACATTTAAGAGCAAATTGGCTTTTCTTGGTGGCTATCCCACAAAGTTAATTCTAATTGACTAGCTAAAGCCTATAGCTCTTTTGTTTCTCCAAAAGTACTTCTGCTTTTTTTTTCACTTATGAAGTTCACTTTTTGGAACCAAGTAAAAAAATCTTACATTTGTATCTATTAAACTTCATTTTGCTTTACAAAACTCAAAATAGTATTTATCTCTGGTGGAGCTGGGAGGAAGAAAGGGACAGTAATTTTCTAGATCTTAGGTTGGGAGGCATATATATATATATACTGTATTCATTATGTACTTCATAATTTATGTATACGTACTTTTATTTTATACCAAATATTACATGAAGATTTAGGTAAATTACAGAAAATTTTCATCTTGTTAGACCGAGCCCACCATATCAAGAAGTAAGAAATTTTTAGATCCTGAATCTGTTACCTCACTTATATTTTTAAGGGTAGGTTATCATAGCATAAAATCTGATATGTTACTTAATTACTGCTATCTAAAGATTCACCTATTCCTAACTACAGTCAATGTATGAAACCTATTAACAACAATCAATTTTGCCCTGTAACCTGTGTAAACAAATGACATATTTATATAGTGGGAAATGGAGCTTAGCCCAGAAAGCCCAGGGAATATGAATTTATTTGTGGGTCTAGAGCGGGGGTTGGCAAACTATAACCCATGGGCCAGCACCTGTGTTTATAAAAAAGGTTTACTGATATACAGCCACACTCATTCATTTATGTATTATCTATGCCTGCTTTCATGCTACAAGGGCAGAGCTGAGTAGTTCCGACAGAGACCCTATGGCCTACAAAGTCTAAAATGGCCCTGTACAGAAAAAAGTTTGCTGAACCCTGGTCTAAGGCACCATCCAGAGGAGAAAGTAAGTTTTCTAGTGTACTTGGCAGGTATATTCCTTTAGGAGTCTAGGTTCCTCAGGCTATCACAGCTCACTGATCATTAGTTTTACCTACCTGAACCCTATTACTCTAATTTCACACTTACAGAGAGCGAGTTCACTTTCCATGTAGGCTTGCCTACAGGGAGAAGACATACTGATCAGCCAGTGTGACCATTCCTACAAAGTAATGATTCCACTTTTCACTGTGAATTAAAGAACTGGCTTTCTGATTTATAGTCTCTCATGAAGTAGATTAGCATGGGTCAGTCCTTTGGAAACGATAACCTCTGATATACCAAAAAATAAAAGTCAAGTTTCTGGACCTGCAAAGCTAAGGACCAGCTCCTGAAATATGGAGACCCCTCTAGGGTATCCATCCTATGAAGCCCTACCTGGGTCAGCAGAGTCCCTCAAGAGATATTTCTGTGACATATCCCTCCATCCTACTTGTGATGCTACCAAAACTTAAGGAATGAGTGCCCATCATTTCTCAAAATCAGATGCAGAAATATCACATGACTACCATAAGACTCAACATTCCACATACAGTAGCTGCTTCTGAGAAGTGACACTTTTTCATTAGATAAGCACTTGCTCTCTTCAAGTGTCTGATGTGACACAAATGTTTTAAAAAATCATCAAAAGAAAGTTAACATCAAACTCAACATTTTCGAAATGTTTCAAGAACAAATCATAAGCTACCTGTCAGCATCTGTACTTTATCATGTGAAGTGTTACTCTGGAAAGCTGTCATTCACACTCATCTGAATTGAGATCTCATGCCTTACCTGACTTGGGCTGATCTTTTCTTCAGTAGCTGTGGAATGTTGATGTGGGTCTTCCTTTGCTCCCTCACAGGGGTCTCTTAAAATTTCCGCCTGGTCCCCTTGATCTCTGAAGACCTTTAGCTCCATGCTCTTGGTTTTCTCTTCCCTATCCAAGATCCCAGAAGCCACAGAACCTCCTGCTGTGGAGTCCACCAGCCCACACCGCCCAGGCTCACCCCCATGATCCAAGGCGCCAGAAGTTTCTTCACAACAACTTTCCGCACGAGTCCTCTGCAGCTCCAAGGGCACTGCCCTACTCTGACTTATAAGAGAGCTTGAGGCTCCAGGTTTTACATCTGGAATCACACTTGGCTCAGGGTCAGCATGAAGCTCTTTGGAGACACTCACAGGGAGTTCAGAGTATAATTCCTGTACCACGGCAGACATGGAGGAATCAAGTGGAACTGGCTGAGTCTCTACTCCGGATGACAGCATTAGGGCAGATGGAAGATTATGGAGTCAAGTCTTTTACATCAAATGGTTCACCCTGACACAAATCAAAGGAAGGGATAAAAGTTTAAAACCTTGCAGGGTAGAAGAAAGCTGTTTCAGCTAAAACTGGCTACAATAAGGACAAAAAATTCCACCTCAATTGCTGACAACAATCTGGCACCAAAACATCCTCCTTAAAGACTGTGAATTAGTGGAAAAATAAATACCTTAAGCCTTTAATAGACATCTGTCTAATCTCAATTCAAATACTGCCTTATGAACAATTCTCAATTTAAACCTGGAGGGCCAGCAAATGTAGATGAGAATAAGACATGTCTGAGCATCCAAGGATAGAAATGATGTAAATTAGAAGATAAAGATGATTTTCTACTTGTTTTCAGGGCATGAACCTTGCCTGTTTTGTTCATTGCTGTTATCCCCACTGCCTGGGAGAGGCGCTCGGCACATAGAAGGTACTCAGTAAATACTTGTGGAATAAACATATACTGAGGGATTCTGAGGAATTTGATATACTGACTTTTCCTCAAGAATAATTCTCTATGCAAGTTTAGAGACAACAGAATTCCATTCCTTTACTGCTTACCAAACACTTGAGCTGTGTCTACCCAGACTGGCACAAGACACTACTAAACCAGACCTTCAGCAGAATCCTCTCTTTTATTCAGTTTCCAAGTGCCTTCACAGACACAACTAATTTGATTCTCGCAACCCTGTGAGCAAAGTAGAGCAGCTATCACCATCCCGTTATAGATCCTAACATCACACTGAAGAGGTAAAAATGACCTGCCTAAAACATTACAGGGTTATCTGAGGGGGTGGGGTGGGGGGGGATACCCAAGGGGCTTCCAGTGTTGGGAATGTTCCACCTCTTGCACTGGAGAGTGGAAACATGAGTTATTTGCTAAAATATGTATATTTGTTTAGTTCATAAAACTACATTATTAAAGTTAAAACATACATACACACACACACACACACACACACACAGAGCTAGGGAATGGTACACTTGGAACTAGGGTTTCCTGATTGGTAACCTTTCCATTTTAGCCTACCAAATGTGTGCAGTTTCCACAACAAAATCCACTTTGACCTAACCAAGGTGGAAACTGGTTAACCAAATAAGATACTACTTGCTTTCATTCTTGATGCTTTCCCTAATCCTAATAAAAGGAGAGAAAAGATGAGAATTTTCTGGCAACTGAGTTTGTAACAAGGATTTACCTGAGGTATTGATGGCAAATCCCTTTGGCCAAAATACACACAGGAAAGGACGGTTCAGAAAGCCAGCAGATTTCTACTCCTACCACTTTCAAACATCCATCTTTTCCCAAAATAAACATACTACATACAAGTAAAATCCATTGTTGGCTACCCAACAATTTTGACTATTGAGTTGTCTCACCTTTTCTCCATTGATCACATTCAGATTTCTGAGCAGGAGGGACTCTCCAATACACCATGTAAATCTTTACAATTCAGTTTCCTTGGACCCTGCGTTGGTGGTATAGTGGTGAGCATAGCTGCCTTCCAGTTTCCTTGGACCCTGTCTCTATTCCTGCCCTGATTTTCTGGGGGGGAGCCCATACGTCACTTATACAAAAGGCATTTGCTCTACCTCCAGGTCAAGAAGCACCTGCTCCTTGATTATTCATGGGTTTACAACCTTTCCTCCTTGCACAGAAGATCCCATCCATTGACATGTGCTATCAAGACTGAAGCTGGGGGCTGAGGCGGGACAGATGACAGGTCCTTTCACTTTGGACCATTCTGCCTTTCTTCTGGTTTTCCAACCTGTGGTGGATAGTTTACTTACGCACATTCCTATGCTTTCACCCACTGGGTGTCCTTAATGTTTTGAAGGACTCTTCCCCAAAAGTAAAAGTATATAACATGACAGTACTAATTTAAATACTAGAAATTATAGGAAATCAGACTGTCGGTCCATTAAGTTTAGAGAACACAGGAAGGCTGATGAAAAAATCTGGATCCAAAAAAGCAGCAAGGAGAGAGAAACTGTTGTGTCCAGAAGTATGGTGAGAATCAAATGAGACACTTTCATAAATGGTGCTGACAAAAACGTATCCTTTCTGGAGCTACAATCTTCCCCTTTCTCCTCTAGTTCCTGGATATTTTTAGAGGCACTTTAGATTTTAGGCCACTTAGTGTCTGTGTGTGCATGTGGGGGTTAACAGCTAAAGTAGAATTACTATTGGATGCCAAAAAAGGGGAGGAGGTCCTCATTTTCATTTGGTTCAGTTTCCCTTTCCCAACAACAGATACAATCCAGTTTTTGGTTATCACACCACATACAGACCAGAAGAGTAAGTGCAGGAAAGGATACTGTAGAAGAGCAGGTTTGTTGATGGAGATCGGCTCCCTGGGTCTCTTGCCACCACATGCTCAAGAGCTCCTCTCCCTTACCTGCCACTAAGGTATGAGTGTTCTCAAAAGTTTAATCCTTGACATGCCTCCCAGGCTTCACTTTTCAGATGATCTCATCGTTTTTGCAGCCTTTCTATGTGGATGACTCAAAACTGTCCCTTTAAGTATAGGTGACCACATGAGCCAACAATTCCACTCCTAGGTATATATGCACAAAAACTAGTACACAAATGTTCAGAGCAGCACTATTCACAATAGCCAAAAAATGGAAACAGCTTATAAGGCCATCAACTGATGAATGGATAAACAATGCGGTACATCCGTACAATGGAATATCACTTGGCTGTAAAAAGGAAGGAAATACTGATTTGTGATAAAACATGGATGAGGGGCGCCTGGGTGGCTCAGTTGGTTAAGCGACTGCCTTCGGCTCAGGTCATGATCCTGGAGTCCCGGGATTGAGCCCCACATCGGGCTCCCTGCTCAGCGGGGGGTCTGCTTCTCCCGCTGCCCTCTTCCCTCTTGTGCTCTCTGTCTCTCATTCTCTCTCAAATAAATAAATAAAAAATCTTTAAAAAAAAAAAAAAAACATGGATGAACCTTGAAGATATTATGGTAAGTAAAACACACCAGTTACAAGGAACCATATAAGTTCTCATATATATAAAATACCCAGAGTAGGGCGCCTGGGTGGCTCAGTTGGTTGAGCAACTGCCTTTGGCTCAGGTCATGATCCTGGAGTCCCGGGATCGAGTCCCGCATCGGGCTCCCTGCTCGGCAGGGAGTCTGCTTCTCCCTCTGACCCTCCCCCCTCTCATGCTCTCTCTCTCTCTCAAATAAATAAATAAAATCTTTAAAAAAAAAAATACCCAGAGTAGGCAAATCTATGGAGTTGGGAAGTGAATTAGCGGTTCCTTAGTGAGAGCTGGAAAAACTGGAAGTGACTGCTAACAGAGTTTCTTTTGGGGGCAATAAAAATGTCCTAATATTGATTGTGGTGATGGTTACACAACTCTGTGACTATGCTAAAAACCACTAAATTGTACAATTTAAGTTGGTGAATTGTATGATATGCAAATTATATCTGAAAGCTGATTTAAAACAAAAACACCTGTCCCAGCCCCCATCTTTTCTCAAATTCCTGACCTATGTTTCATTTATAAGGGTGGTACCCCTCCCAAACTTCACATGTCTAAGATAGAACCCATTCAACCCAATGAATAATTGAGTCTTACTACATACAAACAGCTATGAGAAACGAAGATGAGTAAGATGTTCTCAGTAAACTTACATGTTTATTTTTTATCCTGTTGCCTCTCTCAGTAACAACACCCCCATTATTCTAGAGCTCAGACTTGAACCCCCAGAAACAACTACATTTGACCTTCCACCTGTTGTTCCATTAGCACTTGTAGCCCACGTACTCAACTCCTTTGAGTTGAGTCTCTAACAAATCCCACTCCTTTCCATCCCCATGGCCTTAATTCAAGATTTGTTCTAAACACAGGATCATGCACAAACACACATTTACTAAACAGATCTGCATCATGAAGAGGCAATATTAATAATCACATAGACTGGTTCCAGATATTCTTCAAGGAAAACAGTGCCGTTACATTTCTTATCATGCATCTGTGCTGTAAACTGGCATCGGTCAAAACAGATTTTTAAAGCTTTGGTTCCCCCCAAATAACTTCCAATTTTCAAAAGCCAAACATCTTTTGAATCTTCTATTTCATAAAAATATAATTCTAAGAACTTTCAACCTGTAAAACAACTAAGCACATTGGCTGTTGAAACAAAACAGACTTCTCTCCTTTTCTCCTTGCCCCATCCTGGGTCCTCGAGTTTCTGAGCAGTATCTGCAGTTGAGTCACCCAGAACAGGGAGTATCTCGGCTGGAACCATCAGAGTTGAAGTAATATTTAGATGTAAGTCTAGAGCAGCAGATTAAAATTATTCTCAGCTCACTAGCTTGCACCACCAAACTCTTATTTTAGCCATCTATCAAAATATTGGTAATGGGGGCGCCTGGGTGGCTCACTCGTTAAGCGTCTGCCTTCGGCTCAGGTCATGATCCCAGGGTCCTGGGATCAAGTCCCACATCGGGCTCCCTGCTCCACAGGAAGCCTGCTTTTCCCTCTCCTACTCCCCCTGCTTGTGTTCCCTCTCTCGCTGTGTCTCTCTCTGTCAAATAAATAAATAAAATCTTAAAAAAAAAAAAATATTGGTAATGTTACAGACTGCAGGAACAGAACAAAATTTTAACAAGACATTCAAATTCTTTAAATTTCTAAATACACTGGAACAATTAAAATGATGGTGTAGAGAAACATAACTCTACAAAGAAGGCTGCCTGGGATAGTTTACCAAACTAAACATCAAAACTCTTTAATTTTGGTAAAATATGAACATAGGAAAACTGTTTGAAAGAATATAATCCAAATATTAACAGTATTACCCTGAGTGAGATCACAAACAACTTATACGTTGTTACTTTTCTTTTTTACAGTAAATATGTATTTCTTCTGTTAAAACATTTTAAAAAATATTTTCCCAAGATCCAAATAGGAATAAAGAATAACTGGTAAGTGTATTAGTCCTTTATTTTTATCAGTATCTTTCCAAATGTCAGCTCTCTGCCTCAACCATAAAAATTTTTACATTAAAGCGTTAAGTAAACTTGAAGAGAAAACAGTGAGTTACATATGCTCATAAAATGAAGGCAGGGATTTATAGCTTAATCCTTACTAATGACTTATAACCAACCTACTGGGTGAGCACAGTGGATAAATATCTAGTTTGAGGTATAAGCAAAAAATAAATCATAGATTCACAAACAACTCTTACAACTGCTACTGGCTTGTCATCTTTACCATGACACAAATGAGAATTAGATTGTTTAGGGAATGGACTTATCCCTGAAAAAAGACCCATATTTGTAGGGAGTATGCAGTAAAGTTTTCCCAATAAAAGAAGAAATTCTTTTGAATTGAGAACAATCATCTCAAAACCTTTCTATGTCAAATCCAACAGCGGTGCTGGGAAGCAATCTAGTTGCTAGTCTCCGAATTGAGAGACCAGGGTCCCTATCCTGCTGGCTGTATGGCCTTGAATGTGTCACTTAACTTTCCTGGGCTTGTTTTTCACATGTAAAAAGAACAAGTTAAACAAAATAACCTCAAAGGGTCCTGCCGCCCATAAACATCCCATGACCCTAAATGATAACTTTTCGGGGCGCCTGGGTGGGACTTTGTCAAGTGTCTGCCTTCAGCTCAGGTCATGATCCCAGGGTCCTGGGATCAAGCCCTGTATCAGGCTCCCTGCTCAGCAGGAAGCCTGCTTCTCCCTCTCCCACTCCCCCTGCTGTGTTCCCTCTCTCGCTGTGTCTCTCTCTATTAAATAAATAAAATGTTTCAAAAAAAATTTAAAAAATGATAACTTTTTTATTTCTCTTTGTTTCTCAGAGTACATCTATAGATACCAATAATGGTGGTAGAGTTCCAACTTAGCCCCACTGCAGACACTCAGGGCATAGGAGATAATTTAAGAACACCTTACACACAAAAAAGATGGAAAGCTTTTTCTTAGTGGCAGTGTTAATTCCTATCCTACCAAATAACAAAAACATGAAAAAAAGAAAATATAGTGCTGCAGTTCTCAATCTCATTAGAATACATTTTATAATACTACAAATTTGACAAAGTGGCCCTTTCAGCTTAGTAGTTCAAACACTCCCTAAAACAAAAGTTCTGGGGGTACAAAGTTTACAGCAATGAGTAAAATGTAGAAAAAAGAATCAAACAAAGAAAACAGCAGAACAGAAAACCATGTGCCCAATAATCCCCAGTCTGAAGGTCTTTAATTCCAACGCAAAAGGGCTGCTCAAAATGAAGAACAGTTAGTAACACCCGGTGCTGCCACACTTGTGTCAAGGGACAATACTCACAAAATCGATCAGGCCCTCAGAAGTTCACAACACTCCTTTCACCTTGAGAAAGGGGCTTTCTTTTCCAAGATTCGGACACTGTAGCCAATGCCTCCATGAGGGCATTCGGAGAAGGGGCCTCTTCTTGAGGGACAGAGAAAGAAGAATCTTTTAACGAGATCTCTAGACAAACAGAAAGTCGGGTAGGGAAGTCTATATACTAAACAGGGCCCAGCTCTTCAACATGGAGTGTGCAGGAAATCTCAAAAGCATCAAGCACTGTTTCCTTTTTCCTTCCTTTATTAGCATGCAGAAAAAGGATCCCTCTGTCTCCACATGGGGAGTGAAACAGCGAAAATGCTCCTGATTTCTGACAAAGGCTTTCTGCATAAAAGATTTTCATTTCTTTTTCAAAGGAAGAAGAGAAGGAAACCATCTGTGCCACTCTAAATACACTGCAGGAAAGAGTCCTCCTCTCAAAGGTACAGAGTCTTATTTTTCTTGGGAGAGAAAAAAAGAAGTTGGAAGCTCCCTCTGAGGAGGGGGAGGTGTGCAGATAGCAGGAAGCTTTTTAATCACTACAGCAGGTAGGGGGAGTGGGAGAGGATATCTCTAACCAGTCAGGAAGAAGTGATAGCTTCTGTGGACAAAGGGAAGGCTGGCTTTTAGTATCAGCCCTCCCTCCCTCTTGGACTATAGACCTGTTTCCAAAAACAAAGTCTTTTCTCTTGATCATTCTGAGGCCCTCTTTTGTTAATTTGGGGAGCATGGAAGAATCTAAAGGGAGTAAATATGCCTTTCTCCACCCCAGGGTGGGTAAAAGTCTCCTTTCCAGTGAGAAAGGATGGGTTGAACACCTGTGATGTGGGGGTGGGGATGGGAGGAGGCATGCATGGAAAAATGTGGGTCTCTATGGAAGATAACTAGTTTTCTTTAAAAACAACAAAAACAGCAGCAGCAAATTAAGTAACAATGACAGCAACAATTTACCAAAAGCTTACTAATGTCCTAAGCACTTACACAAATTCTCCCTTAGCCCTCAAGACAATGCTCTACAAAGAGGACCCAAATTAGAGATGGGCTAATTGAGACTCAGAAAGGTTAAGCAACTAACCAAGGTCACGAAGATGGGAAGTGGGAGACAGACTTGCAACTACCACATTCCAGACGCCATGCTCTTAACTGTGCAAGGGAAAGGAGCTCATTGCACACCAAGAGACTTGAGGGAAGAGAAGCGAGGCTCCGTCGGTGGACATGATTGGGGGTGGGGGGATAAGAGACTGACTTCTAATACCACACAGAAAATTCAGGGTCTTCCTCTTTATATCTAGGGGTAAAGGTGAAAAATAAAAGAAAGAAGGTAAGTCTCTCTTTTACAGGGAAGGAAGACCCCCCCCCCAACACTTTTAGGCAAGTTGAGTCTCGCTCTTCATCTGGGGAGCGCTGAGCAAATCGGGGGAAAGGTCTTGTTGAGGGGCTATCTACTACCCCTCCTATTGAAATAAGTTTAGAATCGCCCTCTCACACCCCGGGAGCGGGTATCGCGCCGCTGACAAACGCACAGGAGCTGGGGAAGAGCGTACGCCCACAACAAGGGGCGTCGCCCTCCTCAAGAAGTTGGGGGTCCCCCGCCGTATCGAGGTTGAAGAGTATCTCTCCCCCGTCGGAGCCATGACTTGGAGAAGCCGTTTCCCCCTCGCGACGCGGGGCCTGGTCTCCTCCCTCTCCCCCGGTCGTTCCGCCGCCCGCAGAGCAGCCTCCGTTCCCTTCAGCGCCCCAAGAGGGAGGGAGCCCCGGGCTCCCCCTCACCCTTCAACGCCAGGCGGAGGGTCCCCTCAGGGTGGAGTGAGGCGGGGCGGCTGCGCCCGAAGCCTTCCCGCCCCCGGCCTCTTACCCCGAGGCCTGCTCCGCGGCCCGCGCTCGCCCCGCCAGCTCGGCCTTTGCAGCCGCAGCCCCGTCGCCGCCAAAGCTACCTGAGCCTACCGAGCCGAGAGAGCCCGGGGGCGCTCCAGCCGCCACCTCCTCTTCGTCTCTATGGTTTTCTTCCTCCTCGAGCCCCCCCCACCCCCACCCCGCACTTCCTCATCCGGGGCCCGAGCCAGCCATGCGGGCTCACCCAAGTCCCGCCCCCGCATGGCGCGCGCGCAATCTTAGGGGCGGCCCTTCCCGCGTCCAGCCTCCGGCCCTGGGCGGGCCCTAGCAGCTCTCTGCCCCGCCCCCGCGGTCCGGATTCTTAAAGGGGAACACACGTTTTGCCCCAGCACTTATTGAACCATAGGGCCCATTGTCTCCACTGCTGCTACCCTGGTCCAGTCCACTATTTTCCTGGCCCGAATGGCTGCAATTCTAGGGGACTCTCTCTGGCAGCCCAGGAGATATTTTTATAATTTGAATCAGTGTGAGGTCATGTCAGTGCCCTGCTCCTTTTAATCACACTGACCACTAAATCTAAAAGGCACCTCTGCCTCCAGTCCTGAAAGGCATCTTGTTTTAATATCTTCAAGGCTTAAACACTGGCTGAAATTGTCACGTTGCATCTATTTATTGATTAGTTCATCATATGTCCCTTCCCATGCTTGTTCATCATTCTGTGGTCAGCACCTAGCGTGGTGTTGGGCACAAGTAAACGTTCAACAGACATTTGAGGGAAGGAAACAAGGTTTATTCAAAAGGGAATCAAAAGAGCACCTGGGTGGCTCAGGCGGTTAAGTGTCCAACTTTTGATTTTGGCTCAGGTCATGATCTCAGGGTCCTGGGATTGAGACTGTGTTGCGCCCCATGTGGGGCTCTGTGCTTGGTGGGGAATCTGCTTGAGATTCTCTCTCCCTTTCCCTCTGCCCCTTCCTCCTGCTTGCATGCACTCTCTTTCAGATAAATATTTAAAAAGGGGGGCGGTGAATTAAGGAAGTTCAGAGAATAGAGTCAACTTGATCCAAATCACACAGCCTTGTATTAAACACAGAAATCTGTTGCTTTTTGGACCTTATCAATCTGGCTGACTATAGAACTAGAGGTTTGGAGGTTTATGGGAGATTTTAATTCTCTCTTCTCTGATCAGGATGTCTTTGAGCCAGTCAACATGTGAACCATTTTGGCCAAGATAGTGGTTTTCCCACTTTTGGTCAGGGCAGGAGGTATATAAACCCAAATGCCAGCCCTATTATTCTACAGCCTGTGAATGCATAGATCATCTGTATATGTGTACAATTCATACATAGGCTACTACAGATGGTACTGGGATGATTTAACTAGAAATTCACTTTAAAACATTTCTACATTTACAGTATCCACATTGTCCAGTTCTTTCTCAAGCAACTACCTGCCTATAGAAGGGGATCTGAGAAACCCAGTGTTACTGGTTTGTCTTTTTGCCTCAGGCTCTAGCATGACTGCCCAGCACCATTGTTGATCTTGTCTTCATTTTATTTTAAAATATTTATTTATTTATTTATTTAAGGGGGTAGGGGCAAAGGGAGAGAGAGAGAGAATCCTCAAGCAGACTCCCCTCTGAGTACGGAGCCTGACACAGGGCTCAATCCCACAACCCTGAGATCATTACCTGAGCTGAAGTCAAGAGTTGGATGCCCAACTGACTGAGCCACCGAAGAGCCCTGATCTCGTGTTTTTTTTTTTTAATGTGATATTTTGTTAATAGTGGATTTTTGTATTAATTTTTATTTTAAAAAATTATTTTTAAATATTATCTTGTTCCCTGAGCTTTTTTGACATCTCCTTAATATTTTGTGCCCTAATATTTTGTGCCCCACTAAAGACCTAATGTAACATGTCCCTCATTTCATTTGGTCCTCAAACACTTTCTGAACAAGGAAATACATGTACTTCTTATTTCCATCTGACAAGGGAGAAAATTGAGAAAAGAGAATTTGGTGCAAAGCCACGCTGCCAAAAACAGGCTATTGTGCAGGTGGTTGTAGCACAGCGATCTTAGAATCAAGGATCCCCTAGACTAGATCCCCAGTTCAGGAACTAACTGCTCCAGCCGTCACTAACCTTGACCAGCCTTTGACAATTTTTTAAAAGCTCAAAACCTATCAAGGCTTTTGTTTTTTATTTTTTAAGATTTATTTGTTTATTTGACAGAGAGAGAGAGCACAAGTAGGCAGAGCGGCAGGCAGAGGGAGAGGGAGAAGCAGGCTCCCCACTGAGCAGAGAGCCTGATGAGGGTCTGGATCCTGGATCAGGACCTGAATTGAAGGCAGACGCTAAGCAACTGAGCCACCCAGGCACCCCCTGTCAAGGTTTCTTACAAGTTTTTGCCAAATTAAAAAGTGAAATATTTGCAGTTCTAAGATAGGACACCAATTATAGACATCTCTCAGGAGATGTAATCAAATTTCCTTGAGGGCCAGGGAGAGAGAATCCCGTTAGTCCCTCTGGAATGGAAGGACTTCCCACCAGCCACTGCTGCTAACAAAACAGTCAGGGGGATCTGAATGTGTCCCCTGAATTAGCAACATTAAAATCTTTTATAGTTAACATTTTATCACTGAAAGTTTTTGTAACTGTTGCGGTCTACTTGATTACATGTTCTTACTTTTATAAAAAATTACATTTTATAGGTTTTAAACTTCTGAATCCTAAAGTAAAAGTATGGATGCTTAAGGAAGCTCTTGTCTTCAGCCCTCCCCTCCCCTGCCTTCGCCCACTCCCGTCTCCTTTGTGGTATGCGTTTTTTTCTTTAAACATTCAGAAAATTTCCAAAAACCGTAAGTCAATTAGATGGAGCTGGCAACTTGTCAGGAGCCCTTGGCGAGTTTCTGGCATAGCCCACACAGCTTTGATTTTCTTCTTGAGAACTGAAAGATGTCCTGACAGGGGCTTAGGCTGAGCTCCTGGGTGTGTGGAGGATGCTGGTTAAAAGCTCAGCCTTCAGAGCCCAGTTAGACTCGACTGGGACAGGATCCATCCTTGCTTCCTTCTGAGGACTTTCGTGTCCCCTGCCTGTTTACCTTTTGTGAAATACAACAGTACCTGCCACCTAATAGGGATGTGACCATTTCATAAGGATGTCTGTGAAAGTTACGGTAGCTATTATTATAACCAGGGAGGAACGGAATTCATTTGGGGTTTCGAGGGATTTGAAAAGCACACCTCAAAGTGAATACTTCCCAGCAGGGTCCATCGCACTAAGTCGCAAGTGCTCAGCCCTTTGCATTTTACAAAAGTTCTCGCAGAAACTATTTTGTGCTTCTCAGTAGCCCCGTGAGACCAGGCGAGGGTCCACAACTTCGTTTACAGATTCGGGGAGACTCGCCTGAGTTTGCCCTGTTGGGGGATCACTAAATCGGAAACAAAGCTTTTGGGCATGGATCTATCTGAGAATGTCTGGGAAGAAAAGGATTTCCTTTCCGCCGTCGGGCCAGCGAGCGGGAAACGTAGCGGACAGCCGGAGCTAGAGGCCACAGGCGACGCCCCGCCCCTGGCGGGAGCCCCGGATGGGGAAGTGGCGCGGACACCGAGATGAGGCGGAGGCCGGGCCAGAGCGGCCCGGGGCGTGTGGGCGGGAAGGGGGCGGGGCCGCGGGGCGGAGCCACCGGAGCTGCGCGGGTTCTCAGGTGAGCACTCTGGGGCTGGGGCGGGCCGGCAGGAGCTTTGAGCTTGGGCACGGAAGCCGCGAGGGCTGTGGGGGCGAGGGCGGGGCGTCCAGAGGAGGCGCGGGGACCTCGGGAGGGTCCGGCCCTCGGAGCCCCGGCCTGAAGAGGGAAGGGGCTCCCGAGCTGCGGGTGAGTGGGGCTGCTCGCCGGGCCCGGGCTTGTGGAGTATGAGGGAGGGGGTGGTGGCCCAGGTTCGAGTCCTGACCCCACTCCCCATCCTGCTGTGTGATCTTAGACAAGTCTCCGTGCCTCTCTGAGCTTTAGTGGCCGCAGCTGTGAAATGAGGGTGGGGAGGAGGAGCTGCTGAGAGTTTGTACAGATGGACGTTCAGGGAACGAAGCCCTGCCTTCCTCCTGTTTATCCTCTCCTTGCCCAGGAAACTGACCGCGAAACGTGAACGGTGGGAGTGTCTCAGTGTCTGAGTGACCTTGGGCAAGTCCCTTGCTCTGGCCCACCCTTTCTTTATCTACAAAATGAGTGCGCTAACCTCTTTCAAGATCTCTTTAGTATTTGGGTGTTATTGCTTTAGTTAGAGACAAGGCAGTGAGTGCCCAATTTAATACAGGTTTTCCCTTTAGGGTGTGATAGAATATCTTCTTGGAGGTTGGAACAGACCCTGGCCCAAATTCCCTTTAGTTCCCAGATTCTGTTTTGTCCTCTAACCCTCCTTGTAATTGGAGGAGTGATTTCATCCAAGGGTTGGTGCTACCGCTCCTCTGAACAATACCAGTATATTTAATGGCCTAAAATCAAAGAGCAATTGCAAGGAAAAGTCTGACATTCTAGCTTTTTTGTGTTTCAGTGGCAGAGAGGCAAGATGACTTCTCTCCCCCAAGCTTGGAACAGCTGAAGGAAACAACAGTACAAGATGAGAACAACAAAGGTCTACAAACTCGTCATCCACAAGAAGGGCTTTGGGGGCAGTGGTCAGTATTGATTGGTCTTTGGGGCTTGTGTAAATTGGCTGAGGTTCTTGGTGTGTCCAGTGCCTTGAAAATGACACACTGACTCATGTGACAATAGAGGCTAGAGGCAACTTAACTGAGTGAAGCAGCAAGTATAATATAGTTGCAGGGAGGGCAGTAGCACCAGAGAGCAGAGGCCCCTGCTAAAAGCATTTGTATTCTGACTTTTAAGGAACACTGTGAGTGTTGCCAGTCTACTACCTTTCATTTATTTGTATTTTATATTACATGTTTATTGCATACGTCTTATAAAATTCTAGTCTGCACTGGTTTGGCAGATAAAAGAAACTTACATTACATGAGAGCAGTAGTAGATACACATTAGACAGGTATGATCAAAGCATGAAACTTTGCCTGGCTTGGAAGCATAGTGAGAAGGGGCAGGACAAACATATTGTTCTGTACTAAACCAGATTTTTCAGCTCTGCCTCTAACTTTCCCTGTGACCTCAGGCAAGCCCCTAGTTTACCTTATCTACAACTTCAAGCACATTAGAAAGTTTCTCTGTTTTTCTTAGTACCTTGGGTCTATAAATCTGAAGAATAGGATGGCAATTAGTAATATGATTTGATTTTTCTTTTTGTAAAGGAATAATTTTCCTTTTTGTCCTAACAGTCTTATTTGCTTCAGAAATTGGAATTAACAACATAATGAGTCTTTTTAAAATTGTATTTTACTATGGATTTGCTCTCGTATATGTGTAAGCCTCCCAAGGGCAAGGACTCCCCAAAAGGGAAAACACTAGTTTCGATATCATAAAGTTTGTGAGGATTGAGTAAGATGATGTATGTAAAGTATTTAGTAGAGTACCAGGTTCAGTGCTACTCAGTAAATATAACCATTATAATTACCAGGACAAGGATATACCAGGCATTGCTATATTTAAAACACAATTTCTGCTAAAATGCACAGTCTCTTGTTAATAGTAGACTTTGTATGCAGTTGATGCTGCCTGAACATTTGTGGGGTAGAATTGAGTAGACAACAGAAATAACTTTTTTTTTTTTTAAGATTTTATTTATTTATTTGACAGGGAGAGACACAGCGAGAGAAGGAACACAAGCAGGGGGAGTGGGAGAGGGAGAAGTAGGCTTCCTGCGGAGCAGGGAGCCTGATGCGGGGCTTGATCCCAGGACCCTGGGATCATGACCTGAGCGGAAGGCAGACTCTGCTTAACTGACTGAGCCACCCAGGTGCCCCAGAAATAACTTTTGACAGAGGGAAGGATACAAGGATATAGTATATACAGTGTGTATACAATGTATACAAGTCTACTTTTTCATGTGTATAAAACAAAGATAGGTGCTATACTGTCTCCTGTAGGACTTTAAATAAAAACACATCAAACAAAATTAGGTGCGCATCTGTGCTAAACATAAAGGTTATGAATATGACAAGGTCCCTTGTCCCTAAGGAGCTTTTAGCTTGATGAGACAGATATGTAAAAAGGAAATGGTAAAATGAAACAGTGGAATTTGTGCTCAGGGAGTTTAATTCAGACTATGGAAGTTAGGGGAAGGCATCATAGAGGATTTGGCATAAAACTGTCAATGGAAGCAATATACCAAATAAAATTTGGGATTAATCCAGTGCTTTGCTTTCCTAGGCTGAGCTTTTGTTGGGTCTGATTATATTTGAAATTTAGATATACTTATGTGTCATGGTTTTAGCATAATTAAAGGCTGTATCTTTCCCTCAAAATTAAGACAAAAAAAAATCACTCCCTCTTTATGGTTCTGAGTTTGTTATATATGAAAGCGTTCTCCCCACCCCCAGTGAAGGTGGGGGTGGGAGTAGATAAACATATGAAACTATGTCCTCCCTATATTTTAAGAGTCTCACATACCATGTGAACTGGTATCCAAAGTTTTTCCCTAATCAAGTGCTGCCTTCCAAAATCTAGGGCATTTTACTTGGCTTGTGGGTTTTTTGTTTTGTTTTGTTTTGTTTTTTTATGACATATGAGAGGTGGTGGGCTTTAAGCAGAAGGAATCCTGGGCTAGTAATCAGTCCTGGCTGTTATTAGCTGTTTACCCTTAGGCAAGTCACTTTATCACCTAGGTCATTTCTTCACTTCTGTTAGATCCAAAGATTTATTGTGAGGATCACATTACGACAGTATTTTTGGAAATTCTTTGAACACTATAAATATCAGGGATGGTGCTGCATTTGTGGGATTCAGGCTGTTTTGTTCCTGGGATACGCCAGGTATGTGATAATTTGAGGGAGTAAAGTGTTAATCCCAGAGGTTTAAGTTCCAGAGAGCAAGGGCTGCTTTTTCCCTGGGGTCAGTGGGGTGGTAGTAGAAAGAACATGGGCTCTGAAGACAAAGGTCCCGAACACTGTCCAACTCAGCTACTCACTAGCTTTGTGTCTCCGTGTGAATCCTTTAGTTCATCTGAATTGTGATTTAAAATGGAACCTCATCTTCGAGATGGGGTAGTAATACTAACCTGATGAGGTCATGAGGACCCAACATGAGAATGTATACCGCAACCTGTCGCCCAAGTGAGTCTATTTTCTGCTTGAGATTGCTAAATTGTCTTTCAGATGATGAGCTAGTCATGAACCCTAAAGTGTTTCCTCACATCAAGCTTGGAGACATTGTGGAGATTGCTCACCCCAATGATGAATACAGGTAAACATCTCATTAGGATCAAGGGAACTAACTGGGCAGCCTGCTGTTGTCAAGTATTTTGTTTAAGGGGCTTCCAGGGCAGGACAGCTCTTAGCCTTTACATAAAACTGTTTCTGCCCTCTAGGATTTGGTAAACCAATAATCTTTTAAAAAGTAGTCTGTTCTTTTTGTTTTTAAAGTCAAGATGACAACTCTGTGAGAAATTGTGTAGCATTTAGCCATTTCTGGAGGGCAAGTGCAGAGTTTCTTTGTTTCTAAGAGAACCTCCCCCGCCCCTTGTTGTGCTGTAGGTTACAATATATCCAGAGGGATCTGTTTGCCTTTTGTAGGGGGTGAAGAAAGCTGGTTAATTACAGCTTACAGCACCCCATCTCTTTGTTGCTTTCTCCCCCAGCCCTCTGCTTTTGCAGGTCAAGTCACTTAAGGAAGATCTACAGAAAGGTAAGAATTTCATCTCTCTTCTCTAAGGCTTTTGTTTTTACGCTTAGAGAAACTGTTCCAGAAATGGTAAGGAAAGTCTCTTCATAATCTCAGAGAATGAGGGCATAGTACTTCTTTCCTTGTCAAAATGTGTTCGCCTAAAAAAATTGTCAGATTTCAAAACTGCCAAGGAATCGCATTTGTCAGCATCCTAAGGGCACTGAAGAAACCATCTTTATTGTCAGGAGGAAAGTTAACCTGACTAGGTGAAGCTTTATTCTTAATTCAAGAAAAAAAAAATTTGGCAAAGTGTGCTTTCCTAAATATTGTATTTTTTCACAAGATGTTTGTTAAGTGCCTACTCTGGGTGAGAGAGGATAAAGAAACATACTGATGATTACCTATCACAAATGTAAGGCACTGTACAAGGAGCTTTTTGTAATGTCTCTTTCTTTTTATCTTCCCACACAACTCTTGATTGAGGGATGCGACTTAGTGTCACCGAGGTGAATTGGCTTGCTCGATGTCAGTAAGTGGGGGAGCCAGAGCAGCCATTCTACTTACTCATTCTGGATCAGATCCTTTCTTTTTTCCTCTAATGAGTGTACCATGCTGTTCAAGGAACCAAAATGTTAATTGATAGCAAATTAGGTAATTCCTTAAATAGTACTTAAAAGAAAAGAAGATTCTGGTTTGCTCTAAAGGACTGTGATGTCCACTACTTTTATAATTCAGTATGATGTGGAAGCACTTTATAAAACCCAAATCCTAAGAGTTTCCTCCTCCTCCTCACCACCCCATCTCCTGCCATCTGGTATGTTTCTTACTTACCAGATGTAAGGGCTCATTGAAAAGTTTGTTTCTCCCTTAACTACCTCAGCTACTTTCATTCCAAACGAGAAATGATCTCCTTCCTTTTCTGAATTTTCACAGTTCTTTGAACTTTTTTATATTGCTCCTTAATTTCTTTATTTTTCCTCTCTCTCATTTTTTAATTGCTGAAGGCTCAGGTCTTATTTCACATGCTTGTTTCACCTAAAAAGCAGAGCATTCTAAGCTTTAAGATGTTGGAAGGCAGAGACTGTTTCTTGCCCATGGCCAAGGATCATTTGTGTTGCTTGTCAAATGACTGTTTATAGATTAGAATATATTTACCTTGGGGGCACCTGGGTGGCTCAGTTGGTTAAGCAACTGCCTTCAGCTCAGGTCATGATCCTGGAGTCCCGGGATCGAGTCCCACATCAGGCTCCCTGCTCAGCAGGGAGTCTGCTGCTCCCTCTGACCCTCCTTCCTCTCA